TAGGAAGACAAGCTTCTTTACCTGGTTTACCAACCATTCTGATGCAGGTGCAGATGAGTTAGGAGAGGTCATCAAAGATGATCTTGGCCAAATCTGTTGCAGTACTACTTGGTTCCTGATAGGATGACAAGGAAGTGGGAAGGAGAAGAAGATGATGATGATGGGGAAGGAGAAGATGATGGTGATGAAGAGGGATTGGAAGACACTGATGAAGAAGGGGATGAGGATGAAGGTGAAGAAGATGAAGATGATGATGAAGGGGAGGAAGGAGAGGAGGATGAAGGAGAAGATGACTAATTGAACACTGATGGAGTCCAACCTTCTTTTTTGTTCTAAAATTTTCTCCAGACACTGGGAGAAAGTTGCAGTCTTCCCCCACCTTGTGCTCAGTTACCCTGTTCTTGAAGTCTTTTCTCAAACACCATGGTTCTGGACTTATTTTGTGGGGTGATACCTTGAACAGAATACAATGGGAAAAGTATCTCTACAACCTTCTGTTCTAAACTCATTTTTATCTTCTCCTGTCTCCACCCAAACTGTATGGAATCAACACTGTGCTCTGTGGGAAAAAAGAAAACCCTTCTGCTCCCTTCACTCTGTGGGAAGCTGGAGGGTGTAAGGCCCATGTGCAGTAGTGCATAGAATTCTACCTTTTTTCCTTCTTTCTTTCTATATTGGACTCAGAGATTACACTGTGTCTTTATGTGTATATGGACAGTTAGCATTCACCAACACATACCTGTCTACTTTCTCTTCAAAAAAAAAAAACTTTAAAAAATGGGATATAGAAGGTCAGCAAAGGGTGGGTTTGAGATGTTTGGGTGGGTTAAGCGGGAATTTGACAACATGGCTTCTCCTTTGGCATGTTTAATTGTAATGTTAACAGACATCCTTGCAGTTTAAGATGACACTTTTAAAATAAAATTCTCTCCTAATGAACACACACACACACACACACACACACACACACACACACACACACACAGCCAAAGAGACACAAAACATTATTTACAGGGGAACAATGAAAGATTCAAAGGATGGCAGATTTCTCATCAGAATCCAAGAAGACCAGACAGAAATAGAACAAAATTTTCAGTGTTGAAAGAAAAGAACTGTTACCCTATAAATCAATATACTGCAAAAATATTATTCAGAAGTGAAGTAGAAGTAAAGACATTCACAGATGGACAACTAAAACGAATTTGCTGCCAGCAAACCTGCTCTGAAAGAATTCTCTCTGGAGATTTAAATACTCCACAGAGAATGGCTATCATCAAGAAATCAACCAATAACAAATGCTATCGAGGCTCTGGGGGAAAAGGAACCCTTTTCCACTGTTGGTGGGAGTGTAGACTATAGTGAAACCACTATGGAAATTGGGGAAATTCCTCAAAAAACTAAAACTAGAGGTTCCATTTGACCCAGCGATTCCCCTCCTTGGTATCTTCTCGAAAAAATTTAAAGCATCAAACCACAGCTATATATGCACACCAATGTTTACAGCAGCACAATTTGTAATAGTTAAATCTTGGAAACAGCCCAGATGCCCATCAATAGATGAATGGATAAAGAAAATGTGGTTTTTATACGCAATGGAGTACTACTCTGCCATAAAGAAAGGTAAACTTGAGACATTTCTAGGTAAATAGATGCACCTTGAGACCATATTCGAGTCAAATAAATTAGACACATGTTTAAACATTGCATTGTTTTTCTGGTATGAGAAACTGAAAGGATAAATAAGGACCAAAATGTGTACAGATATTGGGAAGTAGGAAGAAAATCTTCAAATGGGAAGAGGAACAAGGGAGCGGGAAGGGGAAGGGAAAGAAGGGAAAAGAAAAAAAAGAATAGAAGGAAAAAGTGTTAACAAAGCTTCTGTAAATAAGGAGAGAAAGAGGGGTTGAATGAAGGGAAGGAGACTGAGGAAAAAAGAAGAACTGAGATATATCATGTACAAATACAAATTCCCTATGATGAATGTGATCATTATGTATATCTAAAGTATACCAATAACATTAATTTTTAAAATACATGAGTTAAAAAAATACCATAGCCCAAATATATGCTATTTATAGGAAACACACTTCAAATATAATTATGTATATACATTAACACAAAAGATGGAAATATATATCCCAAGTAAACACTCGTGAAAAGAAAGCTAGAGTGGCCACTTTAACATCAGATATAACAGACTTCAGAGTAAAGAAAATTACTAGAGATAAAGGACACTACATAATGATTTTTAAAAGTTAATTTACCAAGAAGACATAAATTCTCAGTGTGTGGGCATCTTCTGACTCAGCTTTTTGTCACTGGGACAAAGTACCTGAAATACACAATTTAAAAGAGGAAAGATTTATTTAGCTTGAAGCTTCAGAGGTTTCAGTCCATGGTAACATCATGGCAGAAGAGCATGGTGGAGCAAAGCTTCTTACTTCATGACAGCTGGGAAGCAAAGCGCAGGGTAAGATGTCTTGTCACCAGTTTAGACTTGAGATTTGGGCAGCCCAATGAAGAAATGCAGAGTCACAGACTATGTTAAACATCTTTTATTCAGCTGAATAGCCATAGTCCATCTGTTTAACTGCTCTTGTGGCCCTAGACACTGTACATTTGCAGCAGTCCTTAGCCTCTTAACCAGCCAATTTTTGCAGCAATCCTTTGGCCACTTACATGTGGCCAGTCTACATGTGCTAGCAACAACCTTGGTTATATAAGTTATTTGTACCAACCAGCGTTGCCCTTGGCTACAAAAGTTATTTACTTTGGGGTATCAGGAGGTGGGCCTGTGCTGGAGCTCTGCTGAGACAGAACCCACTGCCTCCCAGATCCCAGCCCCTCCACAGCCTAACCAAAGTACTGCCATCTTGTGCCTTCATGGTTCCCAACAGAAGAACAGCAGCAAGAAATATACCCTCCCAATGTAAGCGTCCAGTGACACACCTCCTCCAACTGAGCCCTATCTCACAACGCATTTCAGTTATGAACATCAGAGGATTAATCCACTCATCGATACACAGCCCCATGATCCAATAACTGGTCAGGACTCTCTTAATCCAGTCTATTTGATAACTAAGCTTAACTTAAACAATTGAGCTTCAAAATACATGAAGCAAATATAGATATAACTGTGTTTCTTAAGTTATTTCTTATAGCTGACTCAACTATTCTGAGAATTTCTTTTGATCCAGTAATAGGCTGATGTATTGTTTTTGATAATTTTGCTGTTTTTCTACTAGTTCTGTCAATTACTGAGAGAAGAGTGTTGAAGTTGCCAACTTTAATTATGAGTTTATTCCCAGAATAATTGAATAAGCTATAAGAAATACAGTAACATTCACAACCAGGGATGCTACATATCACACAGCTCCAGGAGTCCTTGCCCGTAAACTTTGAGTTGTGTAGTGCATAACCTGCATCAAGTATATGTAATGGTCCTGACCACATAAAATACTGTGCATCTCACTTGGATGAGTTTTACTTTTGAAGGGGAAAAGCAATATATAGAACATGATCTCATGCATATATATGCATGTGTGTATAGATTGTTATATGAATATTTGAGAATGCTAGTTAATTAAACGAATACAGACTTGGCTGGTAAGGGGACAGGAGAAGTGAATAATGTGGGTGGCAGAGGGGAGAACAGTGGGATAGGGACTCAAGCAAGAAGGAAAAAAACTGCTCTTTAAAAATACAATCACATTATGTGCACCCATGTTCATAGCGGCACAGTTTGTAATAGCTAAAACTTGGAAACAGCTCAGTTGCCTATCAACTGGAGACTGGATAAAGAAAATGTGTGTGTGTGTGTGTGTTGTTTTTTTTATAAAATGGAGTACTACTCAGCCATAAAGAATGAGAAATTAGATATATTTATAGCTAAATGGATGTACATTGAGGTGATACTCTT